TATGTTATGAAAATGGAATTGGTATTGAAAAAGATGAACATAAAGCTTTTTATTGGTATCAAAAAGCAGCAGAAAATGGAAATGAATATGCTCAATATCATTTAGGTTTGTGCTATGAAAATGGAACTGGCGTTGAAAAAGTTGAAAGCCCTATAAAAATTAATTGTCCGTAAAATGTAATAGTAAATAATTGATAAATAACGGTTATATAGATGTCTAGTAATTAACCATTTTATATATGTATTTTAAATGTTAAATATACGGAAAAATGAGCCCATCCGTTTTATGTTTGTAATCTAAATGTAAATTATTTGCTTATTAAATGTACTAATCACTAGTAGTATACAGTCAAAGCTCGTTATAGTGAACTTTCCATTCCACTATGTAATTTTTTCCCTTTTTTTCACTATAACGAGATTTATTAAGAAAATTCACTATATCGAGAAAAATTAATTATAAGGAAAAAAAATCAATAGGTCACTATAACGCGATTTTACTTAATGTTCACTATAACGAGATTCACTATAACGAGCTTTGACTGTATATATAACCCATTCTATTATTCATCACCCGTATAGTCTACATCCTTATCTATCACGTTTTAATCTACACAATGGACAATGGTCTATAGCAAACGCATCAATGAATTCATGCACTTCCAACATATAAGTTACTTTATCAAGTTCGTAAGCAAGATGATATTCAACCTGTCCATAAAAAAATTAATAAATTAAATTTTTTTAAAATAAAATAGTTTCGAAGTGTTGTTCAAAATGAAACTTACCTATCCAACACCCAAGAACTGAAGCAAAATCTACAAAATAGAAAAAAAAAAATTTATTAAATTTTTTTTTTTAAAAATAATAAAGTTTCAAAGTGTTATTCGAAACTCACCTATCTAACACCAAGAACTGGAGCCAAAACCTACAAAATAGAAAAAAAGATTAATTAATTAAATTATTTTTTTTTTAAAAAAATAGTTTCGAAGGGTTTATTTGAAACGAAACTCACCTATCCAATGCCCAAGAACCAGAGCTAAAACCTACAAAATAGAAAAAAATTGATAAATTAAATTATTTTTTTTTAAAAAAAAAATAAAGTTTCAAAGTGTTGTTTGAAATAAAATTCACCTATCCAATACCCAAGAACTGAAGCGAAAACCTACAAAATAAAAAAAAATCATTCGAAACTCACCTATCTAACGCCAAAAACTGGAGCCAAACCTACAAAAATAGAAAAAAAGATTAATTAAATTATTTTTTTAAAAAAAAATAGTTTTGAGTGTTATTCAAAACGAAACTCACCTATCCAATGTCCAAGAACCAGAGATGAAACCTACAAAATAGAAAAAAAAATTAATTAATTAAATTATTTTTTTTAAAAAAAAAAATGTTTCGAAGTGTTATTCGAAATGAAACTCACCTATCCAACACTCAAGAACCGCTAAAACCTACAAAATAAAAAAAGAAAAAAAAATAAATTTTTTTTTAATAAAAAAGTTTTGAGCAAAATCTTCGAAACTCACCTATCCAAAGTCTAAGAACCAAAGCCGAAACTTACGACTTACGAAATAGAAAAAAAACTAAAATTATTTTTTTTAAAAAAAATTACAAAGTTTCCAATTAAGTGTTATTCGAAACTCACCTATCTAATACCAAGAACTGAAGCTGAAACAAATAAAAGGAAAAAAAAATAAAAAATAAAAAATATTTCTTTTTTAATTTAGAAGTTTCAAAGCGAAAGCTTTAAAAACATTTTTTTAAAGTTTCGAAGCGAAATGAAACTTTATCTAAAACCCGTATCAATTAAATAAAAAAAAGTTTAAAAAAGATTATCACATATATACGTGATAATCATTGTCGGCTATATTTACCCCAGTATCACTGACACTTTTATAATTAAAATTCCACCCCACGTGACCGGTGAAAATTTAAAGGGATGTGAAAAAAATAATTTTGTGAGGCAAAAAAAAAACTAAGTCCCTCAGATAAATATAAACAGTGAAAACGCGGTGGGGTGTAATGCCGGTGATGAATATTACAAAATCACGTGGGATGGAAAAAGTGTCAGTGATACTGGGGAAGATTGCCGGCTATACTTCGAAGCCAAAGTCACATGACCGAAATTTTTGTACTTCGTAGATCATCTTGTAAAAAGACAAATGTTGGAAAAGATAATAATTCAAGCAAACCTGTCAAAAAATGACAATATAAAAGGAAATAATAAAAGTCATAAATTTTACAATAGGAATTTACTATACGAAATTGACCTTATTATGTAATGATTGCATGTTTAAACATGTTATTTGAACATTATTTGTAAGTTAAGTTAATGCTTGTTTATGTTTACAATACAACTTACGAAAATTTAATATTATATCAAATAAAATTATGTTTAAATTATAAACAAATAATGATTTTTCGAATAATATATGGTCAAATAACATTTTTTTACATACATTTTATGGAAATTGTGTTTTCATAGGGAAGTAAAGCATTTAATTGGTATCAAAATGCAGCCATAAATGGAGATGAAAATGCACAATGTAATTTAGGTTTATATTATAAAAATGGAATTGGCATTAAAAGAAATAATCTCAAAGCATTTGAATGGATCAAAAATCAGCTGAGAAAGGATATAATAAAGCATTAGATAAGCTAACCCATTTTTATGAAACTGGTATTTATAAAGTATATTGGTGCCAAGAAAAAGCAGAAGATGGAGACAAAAATGCACAATATAATTTAGGTATGTGTTATGAAAAAGGAATTGGTGTTGAAAAAGATAAAATTAAAGCATTTGAATGGATTAAAAAATCAGCTAAGCAAGATTATTGTAAGGCACAAAATAAACTTGGTATTTCTTATGAAAATGGTACTGATATAGAAAAAGATGAGTCTAAAGCTTTTTATTGGTATCAAAAAGCAGCGAAAAATGGTTATAAAATTGCACAATATAATTTAGGATTATGTTATAAAAAAGGAATTGGTATTGAAAAAAATAACATTAAAGCATTTAAATGGATTAAAAAATCAGCTGATCAAGAATATAGTTGTGCTCAAAATAAACTTGGTCTTTTCTATGAAAATGGCACTGGTATTGAAAAAGATGAAGCTAAAGCTTTTTATTGGTATCAAAAGGCAGCAAATAATGAAAATAAACATGCAAAATATAAGTTAGGTTTATGTTATAAAAACGGTATTGGCGTTGAAAAAAATGAAATCAAGGCAATTGAATATTTTCATAAATCAGCTATACAAGAGGATAGTAATGCACAAAATGAGCTTGGAATTTTTTATGAAAATGGAATTGAAAAAGATGAACATAAAGCTTTTTATTGGTATCAAAAAGCAGCAGAAAATGAAAATGAATTTGCACAATATAATTTAGGTTTATGCTATGAAAAGGGAATTGGCACTGAAAAAGATAATATTAAAGCATTTGAATGGATTAAAAAATCTGCTGAAAAGGAATATAGTACTGCACAAAATAAACTTGGATTTATCTATGAAAATAACGGAGAAAGTGAAGATATCATAGAAAAAGCTTTTTATTGGTATAAAAAATCAGCAAAAAATGGAAATGAATTTGCACAATATAATTTAGGATTATGTTATGAAAATGGAATTGGTGTTGAAAAAAATGAAAGTAAAGCATTTAATTGGTATAAAAAATCTGCAAAACAAGAATGCTGTAATGCACAGAATAAACTTGGCTCATTTTATAAGTATGGAATTGTTGTAGTAGTAGATGAAGTTAAAGCTTTTTATTGGTATCAAAAATCAGCAAAAATGGGTTATAAGCTTGCACAGTATAATTTAGGCCTATGCTATAAATATGGAATTGGCATTGAAAAAGATGATGTTAAAGCATTTGACTGGTTTAAGAAATCAGCTGAACAAGGATATGGTAAGGCACAAAAAAAACTTAAAGATGGAATTGGTATAACAAAAGATGCTTTCATTATGTATCTCAAAGCTGCAGAAAATGAAAATACTAGAATTGCACAACATAATTTAGGTTTGTGTTATAAAGAGGGAATTGGCACTAAAAATGATAATGTGAAAGCATTTGAATGGATTAAAAAATCGGCTGAACAAGAATATAGTAGTGCACAAAATGAACTTGGCATTTTTTATGAAAATGGTACTGGTATTGAAAAAGATGAGTCTAAAGCTTTTTATTGGTACCAAAAAGCAGCAATAAATGGTTATAAAGTTGCACAATATAACTTAGGTATATATTATAAAAATGGAATTGGCATTGAAAAAGATGAAACTAAGGTATTTAAATGGGTTAAAAAATCTGCTGAACAAGGATATAGTAATGCACAAAATAAACTTGGTACTTTCTATGAAAAAGAAATTGGAACTGAAAAAGATGAAATTGAAGCTTTCTATTGGTATAAAAAAGCAGCAGAAAATGAAAATAACATTGCACAATATAATTTAGGATTATGTTATGATAATGGAATTGGCACTGAAAAGGATATTATTAAAGCATTTGAATGGGTTAAAAAATCAGCTGAACAAGGGTTCAGTAATGCACAGAGTAAACTAAGTTTTTTCTATGGAAATGGAATTGGAATTGAAAAAAATGAAATTAAATCTTTTTATTGGTATCAAAAAGCAATAGAAAGTGAAAATAATATCATACATTGTAATTTGTATCACAGGTCGAAAAGTGAAAAATCAGGCATCAATCAGTCACCGATTGGTGCCTGATTTTTCACTTTTCAACCTGTGTATGAAACCGGTATTGAAAATTATATTAAAGCAACTAATGCAACTAAATGGATCAAAAATGCCTTAAAATATAAACAAGTTAAATTTATACCTTATAATGATTTAGAAAGTGCAGAATTTGTTAATGAAGGAGGATTTGGAATTATCACAAAAGCAATTTGGACAAAAATACATGATTATGTTATCTGTAAAAAACTAACCAATACAATTAATATAAAACATGATATATTAGATGCATTCATTCATGAACTAAAAATGCATTTACAACTTGGTTATAGTGATAGGATTATACACTGTCTAGGCATTAGTATAGGTAATGTAATTTTTTTTGATTATTATGATAATACTTAATTGCTTAATAAGATTCTTCTTTTAGATCCAACTACAAATAAGTATCTTCTCATAATGCAATACGCTGATGGTGGTGATTTACAAAACTATCTTAAAACTAATTTCAAAAATTTGACTTGGGATGATAAGAAAAAATTAGCATTTCAAATTGCGGATGGACTAAACTATTTACATAATGAGGATGTTTTACATAGAGATCTTGTAAGTATTACCTACTATTTATCATAATACAAATTGTTAATTAGTACTTATAATGTTATATATATTTTTAGCACTCTAAGAATATAGTTATCCATGAAAATAATGCTAAAATTACAGATTTTGGTATTTCAAAAATTCAAAATGATCAAAATTCAACAGTTTATATGGGACATTTTGGTGTTATTCCTTATATGGAACCAAAGCGTATTTTTGATCAAAATTTCCCATATCAGATATATATAGTTTTGGTGTATTAATGTGGGAAATTTCTAGTGGGTATCCTCCATTTAAAGATAGTGATGATAAAGTTTCACTTGGTTTTACCATTAATAATGGTACTCGTGAAATTACAATTCCTGGTACACCAATTGAATATGAAAATCTTTATAAAAATTGCTGGAATAAAGAGCCCGGACAAAGACCAGTTATCTATGAAATATTGAATGAATTTAAAAGAATGAATATTGGAATTGAATCAATTAAAGGTATATATTTACATAATTCTTAATGAGAGCCCGTTTATTTGTATCTTATACTAATAAAGTTACATAATAAATTATCTGTAGAAATTGGTTTAGATTCGCAAGATAAAAATTTAGACGATTTATGTAGTAAGTTTATAATTCTCTGTTCATTTCAATAGGATCATAAAAAAACTAAAGTATTTTATTTAAAGTTTTAACAGAACAAATGGATAATTTCAATGAATAAATACAAGCATAAAGATAACTTTTATGTTATATAAATAAACGCTTTAAGCCTTACTTACAGCCAGCCCTAATAGTATAATAGTAGTTTATATGTCATAGTGGTAATAAAATCCAAATTATAACCTATCCAATTTATTTTATATATATTTATTTATTTGATAGCATTATTGTATTTAAGAGAATTAAACAATACAGATATACTTTTTATTCATAAAATACACAAGATAACGTAAATTCTAAATTGCGCAGCTAAGCATCGCATGAAAATTTCGTTTAAGCAAAAAAAAAAAATAAAAGAAAAGAAAAAATCAAATATGCAAATTCATACAAAAGTTCATTCCCATCATTCTTCCTTGATTTATTCCTTAAAATCTAGAGCTTTTCATCGATTATCTAATGGTTAATTTAAGGATCCAGATTATCTACAAATAATTATCCTAGAATAATCCGGATTATCTTAGGATTAGTTACTATTTTAATTAATAAAAATAACTGATAATATGTAAATGATAAATTATAATCTTATTTTTACTTTTTTAATTTTTATTTCTTTTAAATTTTAATCCTTTATTTATTATTATTACAAATCAAATGTTATACTATATTTTAACATTAATTCTTTGTACTGTACTATTATTAAACACTAAATCATCATTTCTTTTCAGGAAAATTAAAGTTTTAAATAAACCTTCATACTTGTTCTTTTACCGAGACCGAAGCAAAATAAATTATTTTCAACGCCCAAGACTCCAAGAAACCAAAAGCTGAAACTCAAGGAAAAAAAAGAGAAATTAATATAACAAACAAAAAACAAAACAAAATAACAAAACAAAAAAAGAATACAAAGAAATTAAAGAAAAAAAGAAAGTTAGTATAATGAAATAAGAAACTGAATGAAAATGCAAAGACTCGTAATTTATTCGGGCCTCATATTATCGTGACTCGAACCTTGACCGAGTATAGTTTAACACGTGTAACCTCGATAATATTCTAAAAAATTAAGAAAAAAAGTGGCTTAGTGATTTGCCAATTATACAACATGTAATACAAAATAAAATCAATAAATTAGGCGTGATGTTAGCAAAAAAGATAATGAAAATAATTAAACCCATTGGCTTAATTTCGGCCGATATTATAATTTAGTCAGAATTAAACATTTAAGTTATAGGAAATGGAACTTGGTCTAATGGTATTACACCTGTTAACGCAATTAAGGAGCTTAAAAGAATTTACCGTTGTATATTTCGAATTACTTTGATCAATTAACTGGATGAACAAGAAAATACTGACGTTTCTGAAAATCAAAACCTAGAATTGGAAATAATATTAAGGAATTGCAAAATCCTACCAAAAAGTCCTTATGATTCGGAACGAAAATTTGGTAAGAATTTGATATTACAAAAAATTGATGTAAAATATGAGAATAAATATCTTATTTCAATTTCCAATTCTTTATTTGTATAAATATTTCATTAATATAGAAAATTATACGCGCTGTAAGGGCGTTTAAAACAAGTAAATAATAATTAAAAATTTTAAAAAGTAAATTAAAGTGCTGGCAATCATACTTTTATTTATTACGACCCAGCAATAATTGGCACGAATCTGCCTTATATATTATTGGATACACACGTGATAAGTTTTTATTGAATTTTGCGCCATATTAATTTCGGTCAGAATTACTGTAGATTTTGGCGTAGCACAAATTAAATCTGGCCCACATTATGGCCTACTAATAACCGATAATTTGGTATAACGACATTTTTCCCCAAAACAACAGTATTGGTACATCTGTATTTTGCAGCCTCAATGGGTGATTTGTATAGTCTTGTTTGTTCTTATTTTATGGTAAGTACATGACTTTTTTGTGGTAAGCATAAATCTTAACCGTTTCATATTAATTAAACCAAATTTATACAGAAAAAAATTAAAAAAAGAAATAATATCGTTAAATTGACTATTTTTATAACTTTAATAGGTTTTCATTACATTTTATTATGATGTATTAACTAATATATTTGAATTAGAAAGATACTCGTTACATATAATAAATTTTTAAAGTATATATATTTTATTTATTATGTATTGGATTTTTTTTTTTATTTGAAATTGGGAAAAGAATATCCAAGTTTGTACGCAAGCCTTACCCTTAAAAGAAAATTATTGAAAATAACCAAGTTCAATTATTTCTTGCTGATAATCCAATTTTACGCCTATAAAGTAATCTCTACAAAAGATCTATCTATGAAAATTGACGTAAAAAAAATAATGTTTAGAAATTTTAATTTATTATTTACATTTTAAGAAATTAAAATTATTATGTGGTACAGGTATTTATCAATTTATTCATGGTGCAGCACCAGGGACGGTGGCGTATAAAATTGGATAGTTCCTTTGAAACGTATTTGTTCCATTTACGGAATAGTTGCTACTCGAGTAACCAAACAAATTAGTTGTGTAATAAAAATTTGGCAATTCACAAAATTACCGTAAACAAGTTCCACACTTCCACGCAGTTTTTTATTTGTTCTCATAATCTGATGTTTTGTATAGTCATATGCCAAATCGTAAATTAGAGACGAATTTTTATTTGAAATCTAATCTAAAAAATTAATATTCACGGCGCATGAACTATTTGTAATACCAAAAAACAGTAATGAAAAGTAGTTAGAATCATAATTAAGTATAATTTGTAAATAATAAAAGTAGTAATTTATTATGCTGACTTATGTGTGACAAATACGAATTTTAATTTGGTGATAATACGTGTTTAGCACTTTATACTAAGCACAAATAATGGCTTTGAATAGATATGGCTATGGTCATGATATTATGGCTTGGCTTATCCGTATAAGCCTTACTATGTTACACGTATATTATATGATGATCTAAACCATATTTGGTCATCAAAACTTGAATTCCTTAGTATTGATCACCGAACCAAATTTATACAAATGAAGATTGTACAAGCATCCCGGTATCAAATCTTTGACGCGATGAAATCTATTTCAAAAACAGATATTTATGTTACGTATTTTATGTATATATATATATACATATATTAAGAAAGTTTGTAAAAAATATATACATTTTTTTTTAAGTTTCTGGGGAAAAAAAAAAATGCTTTCGAGTATTTTATTTCGTTCAATTTTTTACGTCGGTTATCTACTGTGCTTTTCAATTGCAATTATTAAAGCAACGCCAATTAACAAACGTCAATCGGTTAATGAAACTAAACCCTGTCCATTCGATACGATTATCGTAAGTTAACATTTATTATGAAACAATATTACCCTTGTAATAATAACTCTTAACTCTTTAAATTCTTTGAACAAGGTATTTGGTGACTCCACTTGTGATAATGGAAACACGTGGCGTTTGTCTAATTTTACGTATCCTCCAAGTGACTATTTTTATAAAGGAAGATTTAGCAACGGGCCAACTTGGGTTGAATATTTAGCGGATTTTTGTCATATAAAAGATATAAATTACGCTTATGGTGGGGCCACAAGTGATAATCAGTTTGTTAAAGGTAAAAGTTATTAGTTGATGATGAATTTAGTTATTGATTAAAAAACTGAAATTGATCATCCTTGTAGCCACAAGCGGTTTTCACAGTGAATTAATAGTGCCTGGAATAAAGCAAGAAGTGAATAATATATATTTAAAACAAATAACTGCAAGTAATAATAGTAAACCTAATTTCGATAGAATATTATATATTGTAGCACATCAGGGGAACGATTATGTAATTTCTTTTTTATATTTTTAAAAAAAATATTTTTTTCAAAATTTAATTTAAACAATTTCATTTCATTTTTTAGCTAAATCAACCATCTGTGAATCCAAGGACAGTAGTAGGAAATCTATATGAACAATGGGAAGTATTAGCGAATTTTGGAGCAAAACATATCTTAATTAATAAATTTTTTAACCTAAAATATTTACCGAGACCTCCAAAAAATGGTAGACTAAAATATGTAATTAAAAATTTATTGTCTAGATTTATAACAAGACTTCATAATGCTGCTATAGATTTTTATGTTTGGTTGTTTAGAATGAAACATAAGAATGTTAAATTATATATTTTACCAATGGATAAAATTTGGGAAGAATTTCAAAAACCTAGCGTTAAAAAAGAATTAGGAATAACTGATTATGAAAATCCTTGTGTCGTGCGCGAAGATAAAGGCAATACCACCACTTATACTGTGTGTTCAAGTAAGTATATATATAAAAAGTATTATGAAATATTAAATGTATTTTTATTTCTTTTTTAGTATTAAGTAATAATTTTGGTTTTTTTTTTAGATCCAGGCCAACATTTTTATTGGGATTATATTCATCCCGTAAGATTTCCTTCATTTTCTTTAATATATTATTTTATAATGTTTATTTATTTTTCTTTTCTTTTTACATTTTAGAGCACAAAAATTCATAGATATGTTGGGTACAAAACTTATCAAATCGTTACTGCAAAAACAGGAAATTAATTAGAATATCGTGTAATTAATTATAGGTAAATAATATTGTTAAATTGAATAAACCACCGTACTTTTATACATTTTTTTTTTTTTTTTTTTTTTATTGAAAAATTAAGAAAATTTCCGTTACTAATTTCTTTAAATGAAAAAAACGATATATACAGTATATTATGATATTATGATATTACGTGTTCTTTGTCTAGTATGATTCAATTTAGCATTACATACATAACCGATAATATATTTTTTATATGTACTCCTATTAGCGTGGCCAAATTGAATAATATCGTGTTTTCTGATTTACTATTGAATTTTTTTTTTTTTCAAACAAAAACACAATTATACTGTAAATTGTAAAAAAATATAATAAATTTTAAAATTTTTATATCAATTTCATCTTGAACATGAATGTTGCAGACTGCAAATTGTGGCGCTGTAATTATAGTAGAATTTGCAATTACGTGATATATGTTGCACGTATTTTTTTTAGTATAGATTCAATCAATATTTTGAATCATCACAGTTATTAGCTCGAAATGTCTCGAAGGACTATATTATTCTACGCAAATGTGATACGAATGTCCAGATGTCCGTTCAGCATGTAATAACAACTTCGGACTTAATACTGTAATAAATAATAATGTAATAAATTTCTGATTATGGTGTTGGGACAAAAAAAAATTAAATACATCAATTTTAACATAATAAAGCTTGTCACACGGAATTACTTTTTTTTTTAAAAAAAAGGTTTATTATGTTATTATTAAAAGTAGTAAGGCACAAAACATAAAAAAAAATAAAAGATCTGTGATTTATCGTCACGCCATTAAGCAGTTTAAGCACTTTCATCGACTTATTTAAAGTTTCCCTGCCTCATATATATACATTTATATATATTTCTTATTTTACGTTTTTTTTTTCTAAAAAAAAAAATTCCTTCTCTACGCTCATCATTTGTGCGTTAGTAAACCTTCTTTCCTTAGCCCAATTTCTTTCGGCTGATAACTTTCTATCCAGTAACTTTATAAAAATACAAATGCCAACCAAAATTGATATTCCTAAATATATTGTAATTGAAACACCAACACAAAACTATCATATTTTGAATTAGAATTACTAACAAAACTTCTCTTCTATCATCTAAAGATAGAACTAAAGGGCAAGTAATAAATTAAACAAATTAATAAATATAGTTGGTCTTGAGATGAAAAATCATTGAAAATATATTTCAAGAATGCTAATAACAATAATAGATACGGGAAACGAAAAATCAAGACGTTGGATCCCTGATCGGCACATATGATCGTGTGAAATCTCTCTGATCGATTAAAAAACTTTTTATATAATTCACATTTAGACATTTATACCACAATATGGGATGCAACCCCATATTTTTATGAATTTATACATTTATTATTATACATTTATTATTGACTATAGACTATTTTCCTTCACGCTTCTTAGTTTCAGGTTCTTTACTAGCCGATGCCCTATGTGCCCCTATCCATTAACAACCTCACAATACCTTCAATCTTTACACTCTTGCGCAACTCGGTTGAATCCTTGAGAGCATCTTCCGTCAATGGAATTTGATATCCAGTCCTGCTCGTACTATAGATGCTCTCAATGCTATGAAGAGTAAAGTACCAATCAGTTCCAGTACTGACTATACAATCGACGTATTCGTAATCGGAATCGAACGTATCACCAGCCTTTCGCTTTTTCTTGTTCATATTTATGTTCATCTGGAGTGGCGAAGCAAGTTAGCAATAACCTGTACTGTAGTAAGTTTTGGCAGACACCCAATGTCGCCTGAAATGGTTTGTCCTCGGTTATGCAAATTATGCAAATTATTTCCTCTAACATTTCACTGATAATTTTTGTGATTGAATAGTCAACGCGGTCAGTGTTCTCTTCACCAATTATATTCGCCTGAGGTGTGATTATCAAACCATTGATAAGACTTACTGCCATGTGCAAGATTGTAGAAATATACTCGCAACACATAGCCTCATTACTATCTATAACTGGTCACTTTACCCTTCATTTCTAGAATTTACAAAAAGATTTTATCCAGATGTGTGTGGAAAAAAATGGTTCTTTTGAAAAATATTTACTTTAACCATTGAATATATTACTAAATTCAAGAACTTGTAAATTGTATGGTCTAACATTGGACACTAAAAATGCCCTTCTGACGTCAGAGTTTCCTTCACCAGTGTCTTTGATCGGAGAGATCAATAGTAACGTTCATAACAATTTGATCAGCCGGAAATCCGAAATATCTCCGGTTGAGGTGATAGAGAAAATGGAACTGGAGGGATTTGCACCTGATGTAGCTCTTTCACAACCAGGTAGAGTTTCGATCCGTAGCGGTTTAATCCGGTTTTTATCCGGATACCGGCTCGGTTAATTTAGGCTGGGACCACCAAAATTAATAAAAATTTATGGAATAATATTATTTTAATTCTGGCCGAAATTATAGTCCACTCAAAGCCGAAATTTGTAACCTTTTTTAATCATAATCCCACGTTAAAATATTTGAGGTTTTATCCGGATCGAAACACTACAACCAGGTATCGTTAAATATCTAACCAAAAAAAAATAAGTAAAAGTAGATGTCAGATTACTAGTAAAAAAAATAACAAAGAGATCCTTAAAAGAAAACCGTACATGCAATCAATCCACTTTGGTATGAACAGGATCTGTATTTTGTCTGTTGGTCAACCAGCTTCGTTCACGAGGAGTGGATCATTAATTTCTGGAATTTTTTTTTTTTTTAATTGTTTAACAAGATAATTTCTGTTTTCTTCGTTTAGGTTTTCGATACTGGTTCGGTGAGAAAAGAAATAAAATTTTTTTGAAGCATTTGTACATTTTCTAACAATAATCATCATATTTAATATATTTTAAAGGTCTGATTTATCATGTTGCGTCAATAACAATTAATTTAAATACCGATAATAGAATTTGCCAACTTAATTGTATGACTCATGATCATGATGAGCTGATGAATCAGTTGAAGTAAAATTTTTGAGCCAAAAAAAATAGATCGCAGCCTTCACGATTACCATATGACACAGCAGGTACTTACAGGAAGTTACATATCAGATTCTTTAGATTCTTTAGATACAGACCTATATAAGGGATAGCTTTCTTGGGCACAAAATCTCCACAAAGTGGTGTGATACGGGCGAGTAATATTTTGTAGATTAACATTAGTTAGGATAATTTAGTTAGGATAATCATGTTTAGGTTTTCTATTTATTTTTTCCTTTTATGTACTTCACCATATTGACCATTTTCTTCAATAAAATAAAATAAAATAAGTTTTTTAGAAGTAATATTTATGACCGTTACACTTTTTATACTTGAACACTTAAGAGTACATTTGCAAAAGTTATTTTGGCTGCTATTATAACTATAGCTTTTATCTAAAATAAAAATAAATAAATATATATATATGTAATAATATAAAAAATAATAATTTTCTCATTTAAAAGTTATAACAATTTCATCGTCTCAAAATATACATTATCGATGATTCTACAATCTTTTTGACAAGTGTCAATAAAAAAAACACAAATCATATTTGTATTGATATAAAATTTCCAAATAAAATACAATGATTTTTTTTTAACTATCAAAAATTTACTTTTGATAAGGTAAAATTCGAAGCCGACCAAGATGACTTAATGATACTACTGGATAAAGTTTTGATGGTAAATCCTTCACTGATATTTCCTTATATTTTGTATCATCAATTGAAAAAGCACAAGTTTTTTTATACATATTTAGATGAACAGTTACTTTTGTATTATCCTTTCGAAATTGTAAACAATAATTTGTTCCTTTATCAGAATTCTTAAATTTACCATAGGTACCTAATACCCATCCGGTAGGTTGACATCCTGCCCAACTTTCATAATTAAGATTTTCTGATGCACATACCCCAACCCAAGTATCAAAACAATGTTTTTCAATAATGACGCTCCATTCAAAAATTCCTTTATAATCTAATGGCATTTTAGCTCTAACACTTTGATGTCCACCACTATGTGGTGCATGCACGACTCTTCCATTGTCTTCAACAATAAGTCTTGATCCACATGCTGATTCATCCCAAACATAATCTGATTCTGTAAATTTATACATTGATATTCCTCGAACTCCACTAGGACATAAATTATTTGATTTAGCTATCTGACGATAAACACTTACAATCATATTAGATGGAGTGATTTCTAATGGTTCAATAATATTGGATAAAATTTGACTTTCTATTTGACTAAAATCAATAAAATGAGTCAAAGGCTCCAATTCATTGGCAACTTTTTGATGATCAGTAATAGAATTACTATTTTGTACTTGGTTTGAATTCCCTACTTGTTCTAAGGCCGGTAACCTTCTCATAAGAGCTTCATACGCATCATTAGAAACTTGTTTTGCTGCAAGAATAGCACTATGTCGAAAAACTTCGTATTCTGGAGTGATAAAAGGTTTTTCCTTTTTATACGTGCAAGATAAAAGATGATGAAGTGCTTTAATAGATAATCGACCGTGTTCAATAGTATCTAATGGTATAATTGATACCGTTTCTTCCAATAAATTTAGAAGAATATTATCTTCTGGCATTTTATCCACAACTTTGGATAATAATTCTGGTGAATAACTTTTCAAATAATCTGCATTCTTAATAGTTGCCAAAATAAATTCTTGAAGAGATGATAATTGAAAATGACCCGCAGCATAAAAGATTTCAACTATATTATTTTTGTTTAAAGATTCTTTTTTAATTGAACCAGTATAAATATATCCTAATACAATTTTCATTACAGAAGAATTAATGTTTGAAAAAGAAATTTGGTTTTCTTTCATCCCATTATAAAGTAATATGTTAAATACTTCTGACCTTGCCGCTAAAATTGCTCTAGAACCATGTAATTTCTTTTCATTTTCACATAATATTTCTATATCGCTATATTTTTCATTATCTATTAATGACCTTAAATTTTCTTCCAATGAATATCCTCTCGTCATTTTTTTTGAAAAACGAGAACGAGAAAGAAAAAAAAACCTAAAAAAAAAAATTTTATACCATATTTATCTACGTAACATAAATATTCTAAATATGGTAAATATTGGGCTACTAATTTCACCAAATGAAGTAAATGATATGTCAAAAGCCTTCAAACGCCAATTTCTATTGGAAGATTGGAAGTAGTGATATAATTATTAAATCATATGATTTATTTACCTTAAGACCCACATCTAGGAATATTAATAACAGAATTATATAGAGTTTAAGCTCCCATTTTGTTGTTTTCCAATTATTTTGTTTGCCAAGCACTTTTATATATTGTATCAATTTAGCAAATAAAAAATAATTTTCATAATTAATGATAAATTTTATTGGCATTAAAAGTTTACATTTCTTTCTTACAAAGTCTGCTAATACGCACATATTTATTTATTATGCAATACGTTAGTGCTTAAAGTGCAGATGAATTCAAATAAAGTCGAACTAATGGACAACGAAATATATAAGATTTTAAATTTATACGTGTTAGTTTAATATAATATAAATTTCATTTTACTTAAATTAACAAGCTTTACGAGTAAGTATACTCTTTTTATTTTATATAATTATTTATATAATTAATTTTTTTTTTAGAATAGAATCTAGCAATTTGTCATGAACGTCCACAAGTTGGTTCATCAAACACTGATAAACTTTGTCTAAATTCAGGATTTTGTCAAATACTTTTAGATAATAAATGATTGAGCTTTTACAGATATTTTATTACGAGTATCACCTGGGTGATCATCTCCTTTACCAGCATTAGGATGGATTTTAGTTACATTCATATTCTTAATTCTGCCCCAAGTTCCATCCTAATGCTGGAAAAAATCGCTGTAAGTTTCGTCATCATCTACGACCATACGATCAGTTAAGCTTGTAGTATCTTAAAACACATTTCAATGTGATAAAGCACGTTTATCTGAAGTACTCCATGCTATTGGTTATTTTGTTCAATTTTGGAGCGGTAACTAAATGATCAATCGACTAGGAAAGAGATGGATCAATGGGTGCAACTGTTAATACTATTCTCTTTTATGCTTCATCCAAAATATGCTTCTTTGGGATGGTATTTAACATATTATTACAAAACACAGTTTAACAAAGGGCGTTGCTAAATCTCACTGCAGGTGATTTTCACCGCTTAATTTTGGCCGAATTATAAAGTTAAAAAATTTTTCACCCACGTGACTTGTGTTATTTCAGGGTTTTTGCTAAATGAAATAAGTTGTTTAATTACTCAAATATTAATTTTTATCAAAATGGCTTTAATATTTGCAAAAATATGAATATTTTTTACTGTGTCGCACACGGTTAATTTTTTTCATTTTACAATGTAATTTAGTACTTTTGTTAAATTAAACAAGCCTTATGAAGTATTAATCAAAATCATTTACTGGCGTGGGATTAATTAGATATTAATAAGCTAACTTGAGTATTTGTGGAGTAATTACCGTATAGCACTACCTAAAATACCTGGGTCTATATCAATTTCAGCGATTTAAAAATTGAATTATATCCGGGTGTGTACGTTCTTCCTATCAGTACAAGACAAATTTAATCTATGAAAATTTTAAATTTAATTTATAATATTGGTTAAATATTCTAATTTTTAGGAATAAAATAGATCTACATTACTACATGGTATATTGAGATGATGAGACGGGTATTTTATATGGGGTACGCCGAAAGGGGGGTCTCTTAGTCAGTGCTATACGATAACATTTTTATAACAGTGTATTTAGAAATAATTTTCTTTAAAAATATTTGTTTATTTATTTAATAAATTTAATAAAGTGTGAATGAAATTATCTTTTAAATGTACTTGTTGTAAAAAGTATTAATTGCCGATTCGCCACTCAGCGATACAAAATGATCGGCAATCTATAATTAATCTTGTCAGACATTTTTATATTAAATACTATTGCTTCTAAATGGTATTTGCACAAGTTTAAAATGTTTTGTTGTAATATAAATGCCCTAAAAATACATTAAAAAAAGGTGTTACATTACTTAGGTATAGTTTTATAAAACTGGTAAAATTAAAACATTGCCAAAAAAAAAAAAAAAAAAATTTTTATTTTCTTTTTTTTTAAAACATTATTTTGTTAATCTAAACAGGACCCAGAAATATATATATAGGGGTTAGGTGTAGGGATGGCAACGATCATGGTTATGACCGGTTATGACCGTTACCGATATCGGTCAGTCAAAGACCTCTGACCGACCATTTGACCGACCATTTGACCGACCATTTAACCGATCCTGAAAATGTTTGCGAAATGTAATTTAATAAAAAAAATGTTTTGCAAACGTTTTTTAATTATTTTAATAGAAAATGTTGCGAAACCATTTTTTATACGTTTTTTTATTAAATTACGTTTCACAAATGTTTTTAGGATCGGTTAAACAGTCAGTCAAACGGTCAGTCGGTCAGTCAAAGGTTCTTGACTGGTTATGACTAACCGATGACCGACCATGACCGACCATTGCCATCCTAGTCAGGTGATGAAAAAAATTTTTTACTATGAGCTATGGTGCAAGTAAACTATACTTGACAATCACGTGATGATGTTTCAATTTTCTGGCACAAGTTTTAATATCACGTGATCAGACATTGTCCAATAAAAAATGAGAATTTTTATATGTTACACTGTTTCGTAAATAATATTTTATGTCAAAACGAAAAATTTATTCATTGAAACTCTTCATATTTGAATTACATGGTATTGTAATATATAATAACATTTTTTCCTAAGTATCTTACTAACTTGTTGTTGTCATTTTGTTTTACATGGCATCAGTAAAGCCAGATCGAAATTTTCTCATTCACATGTGATGATTTTCTCATGAATCAGAAGGTTTTCTCATCAAATGAATGTGATAATTCGGGCCAGCATTGAAATATCATAATTTTAGCCTGAATTATAAAAATTTTTGACCAATAAGATAGGGCACATGTGATTCAATTTGTTTCAAATTTAGGTGATCATATAAAAATTGGTTAGTTTTAAATGCCTATAACTTTTTATACAGATCTTTTTTCAAAAATCTGACCAGTAATTTGATAGTACTTGTCTTGAAGAATAAAACTACCAGTTTATTTTCTTTAAAATTTATTTTTTAAAATTTTATAAGATTTTTTAGTACTACAATTTTATTGTTGAATATAGTTTACTTGCACCATATACACATTTTTTCAGGGCTGGAATTATGATAATGCCAGTCGGTTACTATAATAGGAAATAAAAGTCTGTCTGGCATTATCAAAAATTATCTAAAAAAGGAAAGATTTTCATACCTTTTTTAGTTCAAAATATGCAAACTCAAACCTGACCCTTTTATATATATTTCTGGGTCCTATCTAAACAAGAATATACCATGAATTATATAATAATACAAAAAAACCTTGTAAAATTTGCAAAATTCACGAATAGTTGGTGTAAAGTTACCTAAAATATGAGCTGGAATGGTGACTTCCTCCAAAGTAAACTCTTTAAATTTTATAGCAAACGAAAAAAAATTTTTTTTTGTGACATATTCACGTTTTGCATTATTGATTGGTAAAGTATGGTTACATTAAGCATGACTTATGTAGGATAAAATTGGAGTTGAAATGTGCTGTTTGACATCATTCATATAAGAACTTGCGACAGATCTACTAATCAATTTTGTATCGTTGAGTGGCAGATTGGCAATTAATAAAGTAATTTTTATTTTATAATATTATTTTTTTTCTTTTTTTTCGAAGATAAATATTACCGGCACGCAAACTACTCGCAAAACTGGCTGAGACTATAATTCGGCCAAAATTAAGCGGTAAAAATTACCTGCGGTGAGATTTAGCAACACCCTTAAAAAAAGACCAAAGCGATTATTGTTGGAGTTTGAAGATTTTTGTAGAAAAGTTGAACCATTTAATGATGAAACTTTTGAACAATTCGTGAGATGATGTCTTTAAATTTTGATCTTTTTGTAGAAAGTGAGTATAGAGAACTGGGTGCAGTTGCTTTTAAAATTTTTAGAAGATGTGTGAATGCAGCTTCAGTTGAGAAAATGTGTCATTTATGGGTTTTTTTACATACAGCTCGTCATAATTTAATTGTAAGATTTTATTTTTAATTATTTTTTAACTTGTATTTTTATTATTTTAACTAGCAAATTTTTTATTTTTATTATTTTTAACTTTTATTCTTAAATCTTAATAAATGGAATTTGACAAACAAATGGAATTTTTTATTTTTAACGATTGGAATCAATGAATGAAATTTTTATTAACTTAATGAATGGGATCAATGATCAGGATTTAATGATCGGGAATTTTTTTATCTTTAACGACTAGAAATAATTTTTTTTATCTTTAAATAAATGGGATTTTTATTACTTTTAACTAATGAATTTTTTTATTAAATGATTTTTAATAGAATGATAAAGTGTTGGCAATGAGTCAACTTTGTGCATCTATTAATTTTTCATTAAGAGGAAAGGAATTACAGCAAAATAAGGCACAATTTCTGATCTGAATGTTGAAACTGAAGTTGAAGATTCCGAAGTTGAATATTCTGAAATTCCTGAAGATACTGAAAATGCTGAAGATAATACTAATATTATTATTTAAATGAAATATCAAATATGTAAATTTTCTAAAGTATTAATGAATCTTTGTTTTTCGTATAATTAAATATTGTTGGACAAAATATTTCACATGATCAAGGTGCTTCCAATCTTATCACTGCCTAGCTTGTACTACATGGTACAGATGGATGACAGAAACACGGATAGATGCATTCAGTTCACAAATCAAGTTTAAATGAAATTCCAGAAAAGTTAATTGATTAAAAGATAACACTGCATTGTTCTTCATTGTTCTTCGAAGCGAAGATAATAAGAATAATTTCTCATATGCACAAGGCCAAGTCTGAATTTGTCCGGCCATCGACGCTTATCATTGTACATTAACCTTATAAGTACTTAGCGGTTCCCTTCCCCACTATATAATAATGCTATAACTATTTTTTTCAGTTAACTTCCCCACTATATAATAATGCTATAACTATTTTTTCAGTTAACTGGAAGATTCGTTAACAAATAACACTTCTATATACTAGGAACTTTCAAGTACTTTATGAGATTGTTGTGTAATGGCAGAAATTACAAATTCAAACTTTGAGAAGTTATCTCTCTTAAAAAAAATTAAGTATTTCCTTTGTTAAGTTAACACTTTTGGAATTTCATTTAAAACTTAATATTATGTGCAACCTAAAAAATACGGCATGATATATTCTGATTCCATCCGTTTCTTATCTTTCAGCTTACTACTAAACTAGAATATGCAATTTGCCGGGGACTTCATCCCCCAAATATAACATTTATAATTAAAAAAATTCTTTGATATAAATAAATTGAATTGTATGTAAAATCACTAAAATATTACTGAATAATAAAATTTATTATAATTAGATCCTATAAAAAATCATGTTTTTAATAAGGTTTTATACAATTTTTTGTTAAAAATAATATTTCTAATCTATATAGGAATACAGAAAATGCACGATTCCATATTACAAAATGCATCATTTGCATGATTTGACCATAATTTATGCTGAATTTATATTGATTTGATCACAGAAATTACATACTTTAAGCATAGAATTTACATGATTTGGTTAATGAATTTACTACTTAAATTACAATTATTAATATTAGTTGCATTTATATGAATTTGATTTTAATAATATTTTATTAAATTATTAAATCAAATATAAAAATAAAAAAATCCTTAGTATCAATGTGATTATAATTAGCCAATAATATAAATTAATTTTTATGATTTAAAATAATGATGTAAGTTGTAATAAGTGTTTTAAATTTAATACAGCTACAAAAAAATGAAATCTTATAAAAATTAATATTCAAGTAGAATCAACCCGCCTGAACAACTTTCAATTAATAAATGAAGTTGATTTCATTTGTCCAAAGTAGATATATTACGCTCTAAATTAAAAAAAACAGAAAAGAGAGTTAATATCAT